AATTGATTCATTGTACTGATCAACTTGGCAATTGCTTGCCTATGATCATGCAATTCTTTATGTAGGTGAATAACATTTGGATCACCTTTAGGAACATTTTCTCTACTTTGCCATGCCGATGAAGTATCTTCCATTTCATATAATATCTCACAAGCTTCGGCATATGGTGTTGTCATGAAATTTCCATCGGCAAGTTGTTTGACCACGCATTGATTAGTAGTGTTGATCCCCCTATAGAAAGTTTGTTGAATCATAGCCTCTGTCATGTCATTGTTCGGGCACTCTTTCACCATAGTTCGGTACCTCTCCCATATCTCATGCAAAGGCTCATTGGGTTCTTGTTTGAATGCTAGAATCTCGTCTCTAAGAGTAGCCATATGCCCGGGAGAAAAGAACTTGGCAATGAATTTCTCCACCAATTCCTCCCATGTACGAATGGAGTGGTTTGACAATCTTTCTAACCAATCCAAGGCTTTCCCCCGTAGAGAGAAGGGAAATAGCCTCAACCTTAGAGTATCCTCAGAGACGTTGGTTTGTTTACTCCCCCAGCAAGTGTCCACAAATCCCTTCAAGTGTTTGTATGCATTTTGACTTGGAGCCCCGGTGAAGAATCCCCATTACTCTAGCAATGTGAGCATAACATTTGTGATGTGGAGGTTTCTCGCCCTAATGCGGGTTGGGACTATGGCACTTGCATATCCTTCGTTTGGCAACACTCGATGTGGAGCCGCTCTTGGTGGAGGTGGGGGAGGAACGGGAACGTTGTCTTGAGGCGGGCGGCCTCGTCTATTTGCTTGAGGTTCAAGAGGAACCTCTTCAACTTGGTCATCCTCCACGTCATCCCCCAATGACATGTTTCCGAGTGGATCAATGTTGTTGAGAGCCATTGTTGCACCTATAATTGTTTCACAAAAAGATTAATAACACGGAAGGAAAGGAAGACAAGTCATACACAAAACCAAATATATAGCTAAATCCATTTTTAGCTCCCCGACAATGACACCAAAAATTGATCTCGCCCAAGTCACACCTCAAATTAGGATTGTGAAGCGGTCGATTGCAATAATAATACCCAACTAGGAGTCAGAATCGAATCCACAGGGAGCGTTGATGGGATTAGTGGTATGTATTTGGTCTAAGCACGTGAATTGTCTAAGTTGCACTTCTACAAATGATTTTTTGATTTTACTTCTAAAATTATACTAAGGAATGCAATTGAAAAATATGAAACTAGAGAAGAATGTTTTTGTTGTTGTTTTTCAAATATGTAAAAAGGTCTAGGGCTATGACTTCTACCTAGGTATTTGCCTAACGGGTTGTGGGCTTTAGAGAGAGTTTTATTGGTCGGGGTGTATTCAACACTCAAATACCCACTCAATACCTCTCGGTAATAGAGTGGTTTTGCCCAATTTGGCTTTCTCAAGTCCAAATGGGTATTGAACTAAACAGTCGACAAATTGCTCAAGTCGGGTTTTACTATCTCTAGGTTCAACCCTTTAATTGGGACTATAAATCTCTTGATTTCATCCCAAACTCTTGTTAGCCAAGTTTTTCTAGATTAAGTCTCTCTTTCTCAAGTTGAGACCAAGTCAAATAGACTTGAACCAATGTTTGCAACCATTAATTCTACAATTATAGCAAGAACTAGGTTAAATAATACACACCCAACCATAAACAAGCCCTAAATCAAACAGCCATTAGGTTCTCACACTAGGGTTAGGTCACAACCCTACCTAGAAATTTAGTTACTCATAGTAGGTAATGAAGAAAATAAAGAAGAAAAGATGATAAAACTCATATTGAAAGATAAATAGATGAAAATCCAATATAAAATCAATAAGATAAGCTAAAGTTGCCTAAAAGAGTAAAGAAAAACGGCAACAGACTTTCTCGTAGTCAAAACTTGACCTAATTTCGTGAAAGTAGTCTATTTATACGAAGCTGGATTTTTCAGACAAAATTGCCCTTTCGGAGGTTTTGCGGCCCCGCAATTCTGTGTGCGGTCCGCACTTTCTTCAGATCTTGATAGGAGTTGGATCTGCGGCCGCACAATTCTACACTGCGGCCGTGTCTTTTGAGTTCTGCGGACCGCACAATTCTGGGTGCGGCCGCACATTTGATTTCTGCGGTTGCACATTATAGTGCAGTCCGCAGTTCTTGCTGGGCTTGGAGTTGGAACTCTCTGAACCTTGACTTCTGCGGCCACACACAGAATTCTGCGATCCGCACTTTAGCTTTTTGTGCTTGATTTTTGTCCTTGTTCAAAATCACTCCTCTTGAGTTTGATTTCATCGTAATGGATCATTTTCCAATACTCATGCAAGTAATCATATTTCATCAGTTTTCGGGAATACCTTTAAACATTTTTGAACTAAAACAAAAGTCAAAAGGCGCAAATAAGTAGTCAAAATCCCTACTTATCAGTATGCAAAGCTAAACCTAGTGCAGTTGGGATTTGCAGATGACCTGTTCCTATTTTGCAGGGGAGATGTGATATCTTCAAAGCTACTGTATGCTTGTTTTGACAGCTTTTCTAAGGCTTCTGGGTTAGTAGCTAAACAGGGGAAAAGTTCTGTCTATTTTGGAGGAGTTGCTCCTAACATACAACAGGAAATCCTATAAAATTTGGGCTTCCAAGCTGGCACATTTCCCTTTAGATACTTAGGTGTACCTCTGAGCTCTAAGAGGCTATCAATTGAGCAATGTCAACCACTATTAGACAAGATAACATGAAGGATCACTACCTGGACAATAAAACTACTGTCTTATGCAAGCAGGTTGCAGCTGATTAAGAGTGTACTTACAGCTATACAAAATTTTTGGTCTCAAATATTCATATTGCCTAAAAAGATCATTAAGGTAATTGAAGCAATTTGCAGAAGCTACCTCTTGACATGAGCTGCAGAATGTTCCAAAAAAGCTCTCATTGCCTGGGAAAAGTTATGCTTGCCTAAGGTTGCTGGTGGATTGAACATAACAAACATTGGCTTATGGAACAAAGCAGCTATACTAAAGCACAACTGGAGTCTGGGGCAGAAAAAAGATAGATTGTGGATCAAATGGGTCCACACATATTATATAAAGGGGAATATGATGAATGAAGTAAAACCAAAGCACGCATCCTGGATTGTGCAAAAGATCTTCAATGCAGGGAAATATATTGAAGAGGCTGGGCTAACAGTAGAGGAGACTATGAGCTGGGACAAGTTCTCCATAAGACAAATGTATAACAACATGCGGGGTGATTATTCCAGAGTTCATTGGAGGAGGCTGATATGTAATAATCAAAGCAGTCCAAGGTGGTCCTTCATTTTATATATGGTTGTACATAATAGGCTATATACCAGAGATAGGCTCATCAAATGGGGGATACAGAGTAGCCCGATATGCATTTTATGTGAGCAAGAACAGGAAACCACACAACACTTATTCTTCGAATGTAACATAGCAGCTAGAATCTGGCAAAAACTGCTCACATGGCAGGGTGTCAGCAGAGCTGCAATGGGATGGTCCGAGGAGATAACATGGACAATAAATAATGCACGGGGGAAATGTGGGAAAGCTGAAATATATAGAATGACTTTAGTTGGGAGCATTTACTATATCTGGCAGGAAAGGAACTTAAAACTGTTCTAGAACAAACATAGATCACATGATGTGATTAGTAAAGATGATTATACAAGATATACACTGCAGAGGAAATAAAGTACCAAGACTAGCAAAGAAGATGGCAAGCCTAAACTTCTATCCATGAAGCAATAAGGAGAAGGTCTAACTAGGTGCAACAAGATAAAGGATACTCAGTAGTAATGATTTCTGAAGGTTAGAGTTTGTAGAAAAGGCTAGAGATGCACGTTAAAGTTGGGGCTGCATGTCCAACTTTAGAAGGACATACTTGTACAGAGTATTCAGATAAATAGAAAACTTATTTACCAAAAAAAAGGTTGTATATTATATAATTAGTTGTATAATGTATGAATCGTTATATGAAATTTGTATTTAAGTTATAAATACTATCTTTATACATAAAGTTGTTGACATGTATCAAAATTGTATTAAGAGAGGAAGTTTTGATTGAAATTTCAGAGAGGAAGAAGAACACACCAAATACAAAATATATACAAATCATATACAAAAAAACATACAAAATACATATTGTATAAAATTTATATAAAAATTGTATTTAAGTTGTATGATGTTGTAATTGTATTTAACTGGGTAAAAATGATGTATGAAAGTTGTTGATAAGTTATAAATAAGTTGTATACTATATAGTTAGTCGTATAAGATTTATTTTTAGTTTATACGTTGTTGTGGATGTATCAAATTTGTACGAAATTTATTTTTAATTTGTATGTTGTTATATCATACAAATTGGGTTGGGTATTGGATCCAGCTTCTCAAATGCTTAATGTGAAGAAGGAACAGAAGTTGGACCCCAGTAAATTGCAGCGCTTAACATATTATGTCTTCCATCTTGAGCACTAATCAGTTTGTTGGTTCCGAGATTTCTAAATCTATTAGGATCGGTTTTCTTCCCTAAGTCCAATGGTTGGAGAAATTAGTTGGTGGCCAAATTTATAGCATCAGATCTAAACATGGGTTCAGTGATTTTTATGTCTCTTGAAAAGTATTACTACCATGGCATAATGGATTATCCTCGAAGGATGTAGATCGTTAGTGAATTTGGTCGCCGAAGGATGTTTGTTGTCAGATAAATATATTTTAAATTTTTTTAAAAAAAGGAGGAGAGAAAAAAGGAAAAGGGTGTAAGTGAATCCCTTAATTTAAGGCAAAAATGGTAGTTGAACCCCCTAATTTAAGACACTAATAGTTAATTGTATATAAATTGTAAGCAAACCTTATTTAGGGCGAGTGATATACAAAATTAGTACAATTTTAGCAAATAAGTTTCAAATATTATATAGAAAAGAAAAAATCTCAGCAGCATATCTATACACGTCAATAAATTATGTTAGTATAAGGCCATAATTATAATTTGCTCTGTGCAAAATACTAGTAGTATGAGTGATAGTTCTCAATTGAAAAAACAAATGTAAAAGGGGAATAAATAATTTGAAGAACCAAATTCAAGAAGTATATCTTCTAGGATCAGTAATATTAATCTTCCAATGTTCATCTATTAATCCCATTTCTTCTGCCTTCTTTCTACTCCAAAATAACTCAATATTCCTCTGCCTTGTTAATCCACAACATTTCTGTAACTTCTCATCCATTTCATCATGTAGCTTCCACCATATCCTGTGTGCGACATCACTAGCATAAACACGTAAAAATCCAATGTCCCAATTACAATCGTAGTCCCTATAACATACCCATGGCTTTAACCCGAGATAATGTATTGCGTACAGTTCTGGAGGATCTGCTTCGAATAATTGGTTCTTCACACTAACGTCATTCGAATTTTCAAAATTTTTGAAGAAGTTTACTCTTCTGGGCAATCTATGCCACCATACAAATACTTCGTTAAGGAAACCTTGATCACCTCCATTATACGATATAATCTCTCTTTGATGTTGCATGAACATGCGGAACATACAATTTGATGGCTCGATCACCATTACTCCTGAATTGAAGATTGATCTTGCATTACCTGTAATATTGTTGGAAGATCCAAATTTTAGTATCAATGTATGTATAGTGTAATGTGTGTGTATATATATATATATATGCTCTCGATCTCCATTTTAAATTACTTCTCGTTCCTTGTTTTAAAGAGAATGTCATTTCTATATTTAATAAGCTTTTAATTTGAACATCTTTATTTTACCCTCAATACACTCCCTTATAGAATGACATGTTTTTACACAACAAGTTTCAAATAATATTTTTAAACCATAAGATTCAAAAAATTTCTATATATTCTTAAATTTTTTATCCAGTCAAACTAAGACACGTATAATAAAATGGATGGAGTATGCAATAAAGTTATTTATGTGTGTGTGTGTTGTATTCTTAGCAAAAGAAGTGCACTCGTTACTTCTGTACTGAATTACATGTACTGATTTAATACTAATAATGGATGGACGATCCAATATATATCTATACATACATCTAAACATTTTGATAATTTTTATTTACGAATATGTAATTCGAGTTAAAGAGTACCTGTAGCTGACATTTGAGGAAAATGGAAAAGAAAGTCGATGTTACGAAGAAGGATGACATCAGCATCAATGAAGATGATCTTTTCATAGTCAGTAAGTTGCCATAACCTGAACTTGCTGTAATTGTATTCATTGTAGGTGTCTTTTCCAGCTCTAGGGTTTCTAATTCTCCTTATGAACCGGAGTTTCCAGCCGGCTTTAATGAGGGCGTCTCGTTTGGGCTCGGAGATGCTTTTGTCAAGGATAAGGATAAGGTCATGTTTGGTTCCAGTTCGGAGAAGACTCTGAGCTAGGGTTATTGCACCACAAACATATGTTGCAGAGGAATGAAGAATTGTGGCGTAAGCTTCTCTTCTAATTGCTAACTTTGTGCTGCTTTCAACGTTGTAGATATCATAGGCCTTGTTGATTTCTGGAATCAAAATAAATGTATGTCAAAATATTTTTCATATATTTAATTTTCTACTCCTAACCAGCCATGTAGCTTATGAAAGTTTTGAGAATTTTTATTTAATTTTGATTTATAGAAAAATGATAATTTGGTTCAGTGAGACTACCTTCTTTTTCTTTAACATTAATCACTGATGTTTAACAAAGGACACTTTTCGTGGTTAGTAATTGATAGAAAGCTCCACCTGGCCATTAACAAGAAAAAAGAAACAAAATCACTTTGCGCCGTATGTCTAACAGTTTTTTATTTCTTGAAGTTTTTAGTATATGATGAGATCTAGCAGTTGATGGGTTTTCGTTAACTAGAATTAAGTCACTTAAAAGTTAATTAGTAACTGTATTTAATAACATTAATTGGTAACATAGACCAAATGGCAAGTAATATGTTATAAATAGGTTAAATTATAGTGATGTCATAAAAGATTATTAAAGGTTGGTGTATATGAAAAATCCATAATTATATTTTAATTCGGTTGTCTAATTCAATAATAAATTTAGTTGTCAACAATGTCAGGATTCAGGTCCCTCCACTCCGTCAACAACATTTAAGAAGAGTCTAAACTTCTGCACATGACTGACAGTCATAGATTTGCCCCCTACTTAATTGGCACGTAGATTTATTTATTTTTTGGTTTATGAGTTTCAAAATACAAGTTTTGGCAGAGTCTAATTGGTGCCTCATCTTAATTTACGGAGATTTATGTATTGTACTCTTACTGCATCATTTTAATTCTAGCAAGTATATTAATCAAGTTCTTAGTGTTGTAACAAATAAAAGCAAAGAAAAGAAGAAAGAAAAGAAATGCAAGTACAATGAAACCACATATTTATAACATTTGAAACTGTAACATACCTTTTTCCCTAAGAGACAAAGCCAACTTGCAAGAACCAATTGGCAATGAAACTTTTTGCTCCAACTTAGCCATATTTGGCTCATAATACCACCAATCTCCTTCTCTTCTCTTTAAATCTTTACACCTAAAAATCTCCATCATTGGCCTACACTTACTCAAGAACACCAACTTCATCTTCCCATTCTTACCCCTTTTTCTCTTCACTGCCAAATTTGCTACCACAAGATGCAATTGTAGCCTAAAAACATCCCTTCTCCACCCTTCTTCTGGATATTTGCATGGCAATTTCACTACTATCATGTCCATATAACTATAGCTATAGAAAGGTGGCATTGGTATTTCTGGACATGTTGGTCGATTATCCATCTCTTCTAATTCCTCATCTATCTGTCCTTGAAATAGAGGTGGCAAGATCAATTCATCTATTAGACCGTGGCGCAGTCAGAAAATTTATTAAAAGTATCTAAATTTCTTTAAACATCCTTTGTCGGTGGGCAATGAGTGTTCAAAGTTTATTTTTTTTATTATAACAAGTAATATTTTATTCTATACATAATATAATTTTTTTGGGAAAGGGTGTTCAGTTGACACCCTTGACCATATATAACTTCGCCTTCTTTTAGTAACTCATCTCACCGGTTAAAATCTAAGTAAAGCGGTACTGGGGTTATGACTAGTTTGTTGGCTTGACTCAACGGGTTGATATGGAAGTGACCTATCCGAAACGCAAACATACAAAATTGAAAATTAAAATTATGTAAATTTGGAAGAACTTAAGCTAATATTTTAAGGAAATACAAACATTTGCAACGTTGATCTTTACCTGGAAACAAGTCATTCCATTCCAACAACTCCGAAACCTTCTCGAATTGTACTGTTGTTATCTGCCCATGGGCTCTCCATTCGCTAATATCTTCCCCTTCCATATTCACCATTCCTATCTTCATTCCTCTCCCCATTTCCTTCAAAAAACTTGGCTTTTTGTGTTTCACCATTTTCTTTAATATTTCCTTTGTCTCATTCACCATTTGTTCTTCTAATGCTTCCTTCATCTTTATCCCAGCTTCCACCTGCTCAATACAAGAAAATACTTCACGGTAATAAATTTTCTCTTTTCAGAAAGATAAACGTATAATTAATTAATCACTTATTTGAACTGCCTATATATAGGTCATGTGTTCGAGTCGTGAAACTAACCACTGATGCTTGCATCGGATAGACTGCCTACATCACACCCCTGGGGATACGGCCCTTTCCCCGACCTTATATAAACGCGACATACTTTGTGCAATGGTTGCCCTTACTTCAACTGAAAAAAGAAAAGAGAAAAAAATTAAAAAGACCACTTACCCTATGATTACACTCGCACGTTGAGCCTGTAATAGGACGAGATGCTGCATATTCGTGATAAACGGAAGATAATTGCCAGTGAAGAAGCGCAGCGTAAGCAACTAAGAAGCAAACCAAGAAAACTAAGTTTATTTTGATTATCAATGCCTTTGAAGGAAGGGACTTCATAATTCGAGAAACCAGAATGCTAGTTCAATATAGGAGTACTATATAAACGGATTTGATCCGAAAAATAAGACAGATTATCTGTTACAAGTTAAAATATATTGATATTGTAAAAAAAATATAAATTTCGAGGTTGAAACTCCGTATAAAATATACACTTTTACTTATAGCCTGTTTGGTCAAACTTCTCCAAAGTCAAAATCACTTTTTTTTTTCAAAAAAAATATTTTTTTTTCAAAGTTGAAGAGTTTGGTCAATCTTTTAGTAGAAAAAATTGCTTTTGAGGAGAAGCAGAAGCAGTTTTGAAGAATGAGAAAAAAATAGCTTCTCTCCAAAAGTATTTTTGAAAAAAATACACTTAGAAACAGTTTTTAAAAGTTTGGCCAAACACTAGTTGCTGCTAAGAAGTGCTTTTTAAATTAATTATAGCCAAACACAAATTGATTCTCGCCAAAAGTACTTTTGAAAAAAAATACTTTTGAGGAAAAAAATAATTATCAAAATAAACTGATTTTTGACCAAATTAGTCTAGCTAAAACTTGTAGTAAGTCGAGACTATAGTTAATTAGGGTGATTAGCGTAATTAATGGGGGATTTGGCAATTGGCAGCAATATAAGGGTCGGACCAACTGAGGGAGCTTTTACTATTATTTGCCGTATGCGTAAGGTGTATTCTTATTAGTTGTATTTATATATCTTGAAAACATAAAGTAATTTCTATTTTATTCTCTAATTTTAGCAGGTAAAAACTGTCACGTGTTGAGCTCGAATGCCTATAACAGATCCGACATTGAAGCTGCCATGCATGCATTCAGTAGCGAGATTATTTCGAAACTTCTTTTTTTTCCTCGACAAATATTTTCTGAATTTCCCTTCTTCCATATAATAAGGTAAAAACAATTAAATTATCAAGTCAGTTAAATGATTAATCACAAATAACTTAAAAAAAAGGCAGATTATCTGTTAAAATATATTAAAATATAACTTAAATCCAGCTTAATAATGAGAAATATTTATATCCTTATGGTGTATGGATATATCAAGGGAGGATTTTGACTTATAACTTTAAAACTTTTTAGTATAAAATTTATTAGCAAGTGGTATACCAACAACAATTTTATTGTGAGGCTACCCACTTTAGATTTGATATACCTCTTCAAACAACTTAAATAACTATCACAAATATATCAAAGCAGAGCAATGATGCTAAATTTATAAGGAAAACAAAATTGATAATATGGGATGAAGCACTTATGGCTAAGTATCAAACGGAGTTCTAGAGATATATTGGATATTAATGAACCGTTTGGTAGGAAATTAATAGTTTGGGAGGTAACTTATGTCAAGTACTACCAGTAGTTCCAAAATCGACAAAAGCATAGACTATAAAAGTTAGCTTGCCAAAGTTATATTTCTGGCCTCAAATGAAAAAGATTCGGCTGGCAAGAAATATAAAGTAAGAACAGATCTAGTATTCAGTGTCTTCTTGCTTCGTGTCGGAAACGAATAAGAGCATCCAATAAAAGATGATTTGGTTCTTCCTAAACACTTGGTTATCAATCCCAATAGTAATAATAGTGCATTTAATCAGAGAAATATTTCTATATTACACTACTAAAAATCTGCTAAAAACCGACCAAATATTTCCGACCAACGTTAGTCGGTCAAAAAAAGCGACCAAAAACCGTCCAACTTGGATGGAAACTGGAAAAAAAAATTTACATTTTTTTAAAACTAAATACCGACCAACGTTAGTCGGTAAATTGGTCAACGAATTGACCCAGCTGGTCAGACAAGAAAATTTTGGATTACCGACCAACGTTGGTAGGTAATCTGGATTCAATTTTTTAAATTTTAATAATTATTTTATTATTTAAAATATTTTATAATATTTAAGAATTTATATTTAAAATTATCGACCAA